GGCATGATGACAGTGAGGAGGTGAGCATGGGGTCTATTACATGATTGACATGAATAATAGTAGAAAGACCCTCTGAGCTCGCACAGCCCTCTTTATTAAGTGCTTCTAATTATGAACTTGAAAGTGTTCTAGAAAATTCCACTGGGAAAAGAGTAAGGACTTCAGTTCTGAGTTTTAATCCTGCTTAGTACCTTACAATTCATCCTTTTAACCTTCCCTACTAGATCATAAACACTATGAAGGCAAAGTAAATGATCATTTTGTTCACCAGAGTGTGGACAGCCCCTCATAGTGTTCAGTATTTCATAGAAGCTAAACAAATACGAACGAATGAGTGAATATGTGATCTGTGACCTTAACTTTGTGATCCCGAGTGGTCCTCAATTGTGAAAGGGGAATTTTTGATTGTATCTATTTTGTTGGATTATCAGAGGGCTTAAATGTAATGACCTACATAAAATATTCAGCACATAGTGAGACCGCACTAGGTGTTTGTTATTGGCATTACTGGTCAATTTGTGAATTGTATAATGTAGGGTGGGACCAGAGGAAAGGCAACCAGAAAGGGCCATCAAATTTCTGTTTGTTATAAATTTAAAAGAAATGAAAGGGATCTTAAGAGGGACAATTGGTATATCACTTTGCCCAGTATGCTGTGGTTTCATGAAGGGGAAAAATGGGTTGCTTTATTAGAAACGGTTAGAATGGCAAGCATGTCCTTCGCATTTCCGCAGGTGCTTTTACGTTGAAGCTCCTTTTCCAGGACTCTCATTAGAAGCACAGAGAATGAATCCTAGAATGGTAGTTCTTTGTTAATACTTAGAAGGTGCCTGCAGCCTCTCCCGGCACCACCGCCCTGAATGGCCCACATCTCATTAGGGAATCTCAAAGAGTTTAATAAACAGAAGAGATGCCTGGGAACCATGGGCTCAGAGCTGGAGGTCGTTAGTATTCAGTGTGTCCAATAGTGTCCTGACTGCTATAAGCCTTAAGGAGTCATTAACATTTCATGAAAATCCAGGTAGCATTCCATTTAGAACTAAAAGACAATTTTGACCTGAGACTCTAAATGAATGAAATAAGAAAACCAAAAATAAAAACAAAGGAAATAGCACTGTGGTGAAAAAGAAAAAGGAATTTCTATAAACTTAAGAAATATCCTTTTCTTAAAAGTGTATTTATTAGACCATCTGGGATACAAAATGAGTTGGTACATTTTCAGATTCCATATTTATAGATCAAGATTAAAAATAGGAAGCTGGATTCTACCCAGACCAACCTATTCCTTGAAAGTTAGGCACTTTGGGAAGTACACAAATTCTTCTGAATTCTGGAACTTGGTGCAGTCCAGGGAATCCTGATTCTTTTCTGGGGGCGGGGGATGAACCGTGTGTTCTCTTTTGAACCTGGGTTATGGGAAGGAAGTTGCTACATGTGGGACCCAGCAAGTGTTTAGGGCACATTGACCAGATCAGTTGATATCCCTGGTCCCACAGAGAACCCTGTACATCCTGTATGGAAAACAAAAGTTCATGTTTAATTATATCTGGATAGAGTTTTTGAAGCATTTAACGTACGTATAAATGATATGGTAGCTTTTGGGTTGTGACTAGGCAGATTGTGCAGCCAGATGATGCTTGGATCACTTTGCTTATGAATGACTATTATATCATGGTACCATTTTGGAAAGCATCCCAAAGGAAGAGGAGTAAGTGACAGCATTATTCACAATTTCAATATACTCTCGTGTAAACTATCAAGAACTTATTATCGTAAGATGCAGATTTGAGTTGTTTATAACCTGAATTCTTTGGTCATATCATTTACTGTCTGTCATCCCCAGCTTTCTCATCTGTGAAATGAAAATAATAGTATTTTCTGCCTCTACAAAGTGGGAATCAAAGTGGCAATGAATGTGCAAATGTGGTGGAAAGAATACAGTGCTTTGTCGATGCTTGGCTTGTCCCTGTCAAGCTGGCTGGACACCAACTCTTGTGGAGTGTGGAACTTCACATTAGAGATAGTTTGGGCATCATGGAATTGGTGGATTTTCCAATTAACACTAACAGTATTCTCCATCTCATAATATCTCCACCTTTTGTTCACAAGAAGGGAAGAATTGCCATTCTCATTATTGTGAACACATCTAGTTCATTTTGGAGTGACCAAAGATCAGAGTTGATTCTCCTGAGGCTGATAGAAATGGAATAACAGAGATCTTTTTTTTTTTTTAAATCTGTTTTATTTTGTTGATTATAAGCAGCTCGGTTTTATGTTGCCACTGGCTGTTACTCTGAGCCAGAGTAATAGCTGAGGAGTGACAAAATGCATACATTTATCATTCTGTAGCAGAATACATAGACTTAAAAAGTTTAATTAGTTTGTGACTAAAGGAAGGCTTCAGAAATGATATTTCAGATTATTATGCTGATATTTTTCCCAGCAGATTATTATGCATAATTCGGTATTTAAATTTTTTGTTGTTAGTGATTTCTTAAAAAGTATAAGGAGGTTGGCTACCCTCTCTCTGGTACATCCATAAAATGGAATATGATTGTAGCAATAAAAATGTGCAACACAGAATGAATTGCCAAAGCGGTTAGGCTATAAGGGAAGTCTTACACAAAATCACATTTACTATATGATTCTCTTTATTATATTTTATATCAGGCAAAACTGACCTGTGGTTAAAAAAGTTAGAAACCACAAAAATGGTTGCCTCTATGACTGAGAAGGGAGTAGAGAGAGGTAGGAAGCATTTGGAGGTGAAGTGTACCGAGGACAGCAGTCTATTTTGAATTGCAACAACTACAACAAAAATTGGTAGATAGTTACACAATAAGGCAGAATTAATAAAAAGTCAATCATAAAATATAGCTGGTGCCCAGTTTCCAATTTTTCAACTTTCCTGTAGGTTTGAAAATTTTATAACAATATTTTTAAAAATATAATTTCAGAAAAAAAATTATTAATATAAAAAAGCACCATGGGAACTCTGGTTAATGTTTTTGGTGATTCAATATTCTTATAAGCACGAAATATCCTTAAAGACATTAAGTTACTTGTCAAAGGTAAATGAGAATTTATTACATTTCAGTTTCTCAAAAAGCTGGATAAAAGAGACACTTAAAATCATAAACACATAAAAGTTTCTGAGTTTGCAATGTGTCACATGAATTGCTACCAAATTAAATTTATAATTAAATACTACTTAGTACCATGTTGTTGACTATGCATCGTTTCATTTTTATTGTTTCTTTTGTTAATCTCCATGAATTCTCCTTCAGAAATGATAGGTTTTAAAACACAAAAAGGAATAAGCAGGTGACAGAATTCAATTAAGAAGAATATACCACAATGAGTCCCACTATTATGTATAATTGTTATGCACCAATACAAAATATGGGGAAAAAAGGGAGAAAATGTACATTTTTGTGAAATAAGTTAACTGATAATGTAAAGCACTTTTGAAAACCTGGACCTTGGGGTACAAATAATACCACCTTGACTTTCATCCCTTAAGAATTATCAGAATTCAGAAAGACTGAATTTAAAATGAGCATGACAAATTAGAGCATTGTATTTTTTTCAAAAGGACAAAATTCAGTAGGAACGTATACAATAGTATGCCCTGAAGAACCAAGAACCAGTAATAAAAGTGTATAATGGGAAAGGACCAATTATAATCAATGTCACTGAAGTCAGCTCTAGCAGAAGACCCACTGTCTGTTCTCCCATGGTGGTATCCTGCTTGCATACATATTTTTAAAGTAACATGGAGAAATAAGTCAGGGTTTAAAGAGGAACAAGGTGACTAAGATAATGGAAAACTACTCTTATTAGGAAAAATCTGAGAGAAGAGGAAATTCTGTCAAGATTGAAAGGTCAATCAAATGTTTGATTACTGTTTCCAATTATATGGTGTTCCTAAGAGAAAACTCCATAAAATGAACTATCAGAGCAAAGGGATTTAAGATCTGGTTTAGTTCTGCAAATGGAAAAATCCCCAGACTTTGAGGTTGATTAAACCCTGGAATAATTTATCAAGAGATGTTTTGGAATCTATGTCCCTGGAGAATTAAAAAATTAGACAAAATATAAATCCTGAGCAATTTGACATTCACCTGCTACAGGCTGAGGGCTAACTCAGATGATCCTTGAAAACACCTTGCTGGATCTGCATTCTAAAAATAATGTTTCATTCTACAGTAATAATTTTGAAGTACAGCTTGATACTAATTAACATTTTCTGGGTTTCCAGTAAGGAATTATAAGTTTACATTCATTTCACTTAAAAATCAGTATATTTAATGGCGTTTCTTTCCTTGGCTGTGTCTCCTACAAATTGATTGTGTGTTGTTCCAGTGATGGTGACACCGTTCTTAGTTTCTGTATTTTTATAATTATTGTAAAATAATTATACAGTCTTCCCCCTTTATCCTCAGGGGATACATCACAAAGCCCACAGTGGATGACTCAAAACTCTATCTTACCTTGCTTTTCTTATGCATACACACCTAAGATAAAGGTTAATTTATGAATTAGGAAGAGTAAGAGATTAATAACAATAACTAATAATAAAAAGAACAATTATAACAACGGACTATAATGAAAATTATATGAATATGGTCCCTCTCCTTTGAAAGAGTCAAGACCAATATTAATATTCTTGGATTGCAATTGACATGGAGCAATTGAAACTGAGGATGAAGGAGAGTGCTCTCATGTATTCTTTCATTTTTTTTTCTTTCTAATATTATAATAACATCATTACAGGATGTTTTCATATTTACAAATGTTATTCTCCTGAGTATTTTATGTTGGTGAGAAGACCCCCTACCGGGTCTGTTTCAGCATGCTCCCCGCCATTTTTACCCTGTCTTTTGTCCACCTTTGGAAAGTCAGCCTGTGGAGCTCCTCTCTCGCCTTCTCCACTGTGGTCTCTATTTTTGGTTTCCTAGTCTCTTTCCTCAGCTCACTTTCCATCTTACCCATTGCAGAGCAAAACTTACTTCCTGTTGTGATGCTATTCAAAACTTCGTGGTTTCTCAAAATAACACTCCTGTTGGAACTAACATGAGCTACGAGGTGGAAAGTAAAAGAACAATCCCGATCGGAGAGAACATTTTTCATATGCTTCCTGCGGTGAGTAAAAATTTGTTGTGGGTAAATTTTCTCTCACTTCAAATTGTAACTTACAGTAATGAATGAATGGTTGGATGATTAAATACTACCATTTTCTGTTATGTTGTATAAAATATGTATAGTGAAACCTTTTTAAATGGCATTTTTTTTTTTATGCTGCTGGGGATTAAACCAGGGGCTTCACACATTCTAGGCAAGTGGTCCACACTGAGCTACATCCCCATCCACAGAAGGGCAATTCTGAATGTGGTGTGGCTCTAAGGGAAGGACATTTGTCATTTCTATCTACTGACTCTTCCTGTCTCTCAATGAGATGGGGCACTTGAGCTTTCTTCATTATAATTACTGTAATTACTGGGGCTTGTGCAGATAACATTCACTTTAAATACTGGAATAAGATGCTTCTAGTTGTCAACTTTGGTGACTACATCAATTCCTTCACGAAGAAACTGTAGGTTGATGTGGCTTATCTTTGGGAAGTAAATATGTAAGAATTTGTGGAAAATAAACAAATATTCATAATATAGAGGTTATTGTCTGCCCTGTGTAGCCAAAGCTCCTAGAACATTCCCCACTACATATACTTGTTAAGAAAACAAATCAGTAATGATATGGTTTTCTATTGCTGGACACAAATGTGGAAAAACTTATCACTAAATACAAACCCAAACTTGGAAAAATTTTTGTCACGAAAATCTGGTTGTGTATAAACATATACTCTCAGGCATCTTTTCATGATCCATTTAAAAATTACAAGGCCAAATCAATGTGGTCCAAAATGGAATCACAGTTTGCCAACCTTGGGATATTAGAGTCTTATAATTAATTCCCTTCTGTTGGACTTTTGACTTCTTTCAACTAAATTATTGCTGTTCATGTAAATTGCTTTGATTTTTTTTGTATGACAATTCAGAGAAAGGATAATTTGCTGAGAATGAATGAGAAATAAACAGAAAATGACGAAGGAAAAAAAATACCAAAAGCTTTGTGGAAAAGAAGGGGGACAAAAACTAACTCATAAAGAAAATAGTTGGCAGTAGAGAAAATTTTTATGAAGACAAAATATGGTCTTTTGAAATCAACAAAATGAATGCAATTCATGGTCTATAGTTGTACAGACCATGTTTCTTCAAGAAGGAAACTCATAAAGCTTTCTCGTGGTGCAATGGAATGGCCTATAATTGAAAATTTAATAACAAAAGAATATTTCTGTTCCTTATTAGGAAGGCCTTGGAGAGGACTGTAGTGGGCAACTCTTTACCCATGCAACTTCTGCTAGTGTGTATCTTGCTGACCAGCAAGAAGCATAAGATCTTCTGCCTTTCACTTGGCATCTTGAAAGAAATAGCATAAGGGTTGATAATCTACAGGTGATGAATAACTGCATCCAGTTTGGACTAGTTTGGACTAGTGGGGAAAGGAAATTCTAGAACCAATGCAACCCCTTGTTACTTCATCTTCCTTGGATGGAACTCATAGTGTAGTTGACCACTTTCCTACCTTGCTGCATACTTGCCCACCCTATTCTACTCTGCCCCTCCACAACCCACAACCCGTAGGATGGCTGGGCACACAGCAGATGGCAAGGAATGCTTTTAAATAAATGGTGCATAGTCACTTTCTCCAAAAACTTGGTAAAGTTACTTGAAAAGGAAAACAACAAAGTTGATTTTCAACCAGAGTGAGCAATGAGCAGGCTGTTGAGCCATGCAAATTTACATTTTCTTAGGAGGTTTATTTTAGGGTTTATAATTTATTTCATCTCCTACTGAACATGAGATCCCAAAGCATATGGATGTTTCCCCCCAGTTGACCAAGAAACCATAGAACACAGTCATTATTTTGAGTGTTTAATTTGAGATATATATCCCTCAGTAATCTTTTCTATTGTACCATAAAGAGCAGGTTTGCATTTTTGTGTTCTACCCTATCTATAAAATTCAGAATTTATTGAGGTGACGAACACAGTGAGTGAACACTGTCTGAAGACATCCTGAGCTGAAAGTTCAGTGACATGAAGTAGCCTGAGGTATCAGAGAATCATTCATTTAAAAGGCAGGAGCTTTGGTAGGCATTGTGGATATGAAGCGGAATAAGTCACACAGTTACATTAACCCTGTACTCACTGACTAGTAAGAAACTGCACCAGAAGGTTCTCTGGAGCAGAATGCCTGGGATCATACAGGGAGTGCTATGCTTCTCTGTAGCTGTTGCTTAAATTCATACCTCTGTTTTCCCATCTGTGAAGTGCTCATGAGATGGTTGTGTGGATTAAATGTGCTCATAAGTTATACACTTGGACTGGTGCCTTTTGTGCAATAAGTTTAATATGAATGCTAAATTTTACAGACAAAACTTACAAAGAAAGAAGTACGGGATCAAAATTCTCTTGGCTGGTTGGGCATTTCCCAGATGCAGCATTGGGAGCAGGTGGCAGCTTAGTGACTCGGGGCTCTGCCAGCACTCTGCGCTGCCCAGAACCATATCAGCCCTGAGCTGTGGACAGTGGTGTTGGTGAAATGGCTTGGGGGAGGGGTTTTGTCTTAGACTTTAGAGCCTTTGCTATTTTCGGTGGTTTCAATACCAACACCATGGCTGGTTTCAAGACACCAGTAGTTTAGCTGGCAACTCATGGAGTTCTTGAATATTGTTCATTTGGCTCCTACAATCTGAATGAGGCAGCTCCAGCACACTGCTGGGTCTGCCCTGGGGAAACATAAGTATGTACTCACTGCGTACATTGTGCAAGGCTAGTTATGGAGGGAAAGATGAAGGGAAATGAAAAGCTAAGGAACAAAACAACGTTGATGCCCTTGAAGACTTACATTCTAATATTAGAGACAAAGTAGAAGGACCAGGACGTCATCACTGTGGGGTATGAGCTGGTATTATTGCTGCAGGCTCAAGTACACATTATTACTTTAAGGGAGTGACCAGAAAAGGTGAAGTGCACTGTTGAATTGAAACGTTATATTTCATACTGTGGAGGACTCTGGGAAAATGGGAAACCTTGTGGGATAAGCGGGGCGGATTCTAGGAGGAAATGAAAAATACTCAGGCCTCTGAAATTGATATGAAGTATGTCAGCCCAGAGTTAGGAGGTCCCCCTGAAGCACCCGGCTGATCATTTGCAGAACCAGCAAGCATAAATCTAAACCATTACTGAGCCTGAAGCTCTATTTAAGATGCACAGGAAACTATTGCTAAATTACCTATTAATTTTATGCCTTAGAATAAAAGATTTAATGCTACTTTATAACTTCTTTATATTTTCCTTTTTGTGTGTGTGAAAATGTCCATTTGTTGGAAAGATATGAAATTTTGCCACTCCATTCTACTGCTTACATGATGTACGAGATATATATTATATTTCGTATGCAAATATGTTATGCTTTGTGCTCTTACATTTATTGTATATATTATGTGCTGTCTTTTCCTCTTAAGAGAAATCAAACAGGTTTATGGAATGATATTTTATTAGAAACCATAATTAGTTGATCAGTTTGCTTTTTTTTTTCTTTTCTTCTGCTTAGCATATATGAAGAGTTAAGTTACTGGAATTAAGCTGATGGTGTTTGTGGCTCTGAAATGAATGGTATTTCATGCTAGTTTTCCACTCTTTTCTTCTAGTCCCAGCCCTTTGTGGAGTATCCTTATAATCAGTGTGCCGTGGTTGGAAATGGGGGGATTCTGAATAACTCTCTCTGCGGAACTGAAATAGATAAATTTGACTTTGTTTTTAGGTAAGACTTGTCAATAGTTTCTTGGAAACCAAAGATCATTTGGATAAAGGGGGTAATGAAAATATACCCTGTGTCAATTTTGACTTTGAGTTGTTGTGTATGCTAAAATCCACAGATTACCCAGGTAGGCTTGCCTGAATTATTACACGGCTCATGAGGTTCATACCATAAAGTTGAAAACGTGCCATCTTCATCTACTGTTGATAGAAAGAAATCATAGGGAAAGAGGGTTTGGGATTACAAGACTTATCAGGGCCTTCACCACTTAAATGAATGGATAGCATTGCTCCCTGGGAAGGACTCCAGGGAGGAGTAATTCCCAGTCTCATCTGACCTTGAAGATCTTTTTTTTTTTTTTTTCTTACAGAGAATGTCAGAGAAGTTGTTCTCCAGTAGCTAAGCAAAATGCTGATCTTAACACTTTAAGCCATGAACATCATTGTTTAATTTTCTGTCTTGAAATTAAAAAGAATATTTTTTGCAGGTTCCCTCAATTCTGGTTTTAAATCATTTTTTTATCTTGATATTTCTAGTTTACAAAAATAGAAACAAAAGCGGTTTCTATGTGTGCCTCATACTAATAAGCCATGCTACAAAGCATTTCCACTCTCAAAGTATGACAGAAAGGTGATTCATCCATCTGAGGATGGTTTTCAGTTGAAATGCACCTTTTAAAAGAGTTGGAAGAAACCTGTTTCTTTCCGTTTTAGGAGTATTGATTTTATATATCAGAGGTCTTTTGATCCCTCGTGCTTTAACATTACTCCTTTTATCAGTTGAAAACAAGATTATGATTTTTCAATAAATAGCTCCTCCTCACTTGAATCTCATTTTAAAATTTTACGCTGAAGAAAATGACAGACCAACAGTTATTGAATGTGTTCTTCATGGTCAATGTTAAGATAGCCATTTCAGTCAAATTCCCAGTGTGGAAAAACCCATAATGAAGATAAATAACCTTTCTTGCAATAGATTTTTTATAGACTTAAAATTCCCCAAACATCTGTGTTGAATATTATGTCTAAACATTGATTTTACTTTATAGCAAGTATAGGAGATACAAATTTGGGTTCAAAACATAAACAAACAAAACAGTCTCAGCAGTTATTTCATTTAAAACTCCAAAATAAATGCCTTTGCCTCTAGATTTTACTTTTGCTGATGCCAGATGTTTTTCTGAACAGAGAGTTCCTTTTGAAGTTGGCCACTCAAATTGAAAGGCAAAATGAGGGTTAGGTGTGGTTGATGTCATTAGAATTTATTTAATTTTTTAAGATAGTAATTATTTTGCCTATGCATGTTGATAGTTTATAAGAAAATTTGAAAGCTGCTTATTTTTTTCCATTTAAAAAAATTTGGAGCTACAACTTAAATGTGTAAGGAATGAAAATTAGTCAATAACTATACTATTCCTATGCTACAACCATACTATTGTGACCGTGCATCTATATGATATGTAATATGTATATTTCCCCTAAGAGTTTCCTGTGATACTATCTTGGAAATCACTTTTGATTCTTCAAAAGAAAGGGACTGTGGTTTGATAGAGGAGGCCCACTAATAAGGTCATTGCTTTGGCCTCCTATCTATAATTGACATTTACTTCCCCAAGGTGCCATATTTATTTTCTGGTGTATATTTTGTATCAAAGAGGAAAGTGCTTGTTTCATTTTTCCCTGTGTTTCATATGGCCTGGAACAGAACATTTCAGCCTCAGTCACATTATTTTAGCCTTCCTTAGGAAGCACTTGGTGTTCTCTTTTTCTGCTTAGCTTTAAAGAGATGAGCCACTTCAAATTTCAAATATATTTAGGGAGTCAGAACCATCTTCCCCTTTTCTCGTTATTAAAATATACTCTAAATTAGATTTCTTCACTTGGTTTTCAATGTAAAAACAAATTATTGCTCAAAGGAAGATGAGAAAATCAGTATTTCATTGTCACTATGAGAACATTAAGGTTTTATTTATTAATGCTATAATTTGGTGCAAAACTATCCATATGGAAATTGGGAGATTTTGATGTTTTTATATAGTCTTTGTTTCTGGAAGATGCTATTACCTTGATTGCAGCACCTCAAATTTTATTTTTAAGTCTGTAAATTAGTTATCATACCACTGTGGAAATATAATCAATATAAGTGATGATTTTAATAAAAGGATTAAAGTCTCTTCAAAAGCTAGGCAAGGTGTAGTTGTCATTTCTGGTTTTGATGCTCATAAAATGTACTGAAAATATTGAAAGTACTTATAAATTTGTATATTTTACATAACATTGAAATGTCAGCTATGAGTTCAGTACTTATTAAATAGTTTTAAATGGAAATCAAATGGATTCTGAGGTTCTCTTTTAAAAGCAATGCTTTTCTCTGACATAGGAACATTTATCCTAGGTTTGGAGATATATATATATATATATATATATATATATATATATATATATATATATACTTGTTTCTTACAATTATATTTTGAAAATAGTTTTTCTTACATATTTCAGGTGTAACATCCCTCCAACCAATGGAAATGTTAGTAAAGATGTTGGCAGTAAAACCAATCTTGTGACTATAAATCCCAGTATAATAATGCTAAAGTAAGTATCTCCAAGTTATATAATTGTTCAAGAATACTTTTTCATTGTTTAACATGTTTCTCAGTCTAAGTGCTAATCTCTTTGCTAAGGATGACTTGCAATACAGCTGGAATGGCTTTGGGGGAAAATACAAAAGAATACATTAGCAAATTTTGACATCCTACAGAGGTTGTGGTTCATCAAAGGTATGACTCAGTTGTGCTCCTAATGTCATAAGCTAGGTGTTTCTGATCAAACGAGAACTTATTTATCTCTTTATCCTTTTTCAATACTAGTGAAGTTAATTTATTCCCTGTTCTTTCAGAGTTTTAGCATTATTTTAGCATTACTCTTTTAATTTCGTGGCACTTTCTTCATAAAATTTATTGTATTTAGACATTTGGGGGTAAGCCCTAGGACAGCCTGGCAAAATACAGTTTCACATTGAATAGTTTATCTCTGACAAAATAATTCCTGTGGTGGGCAAGGATGTGGGGGAAAAGATACACTCATACATACACTGCTGGTGGGACTGCAAATTGGTGCAGCCAATATGGAAAGCAGTATGGAGATTTCTTGGAAAATTCGGAATGGAACCACCATTTGACCCAGCTGTCCCTCTCCTCGGTCTATACCCAAAGAATTTTAAAAAAGCATACTACAGAGACACGGCCACATAAATGTTTATAAAGTCACAATAGCTAAACTGTGGAACCAACCTAGATGCCCTTCAATAGATGAATGGATAAAAAAAATGTGGCATATATACACAATGGAATATTACTCAGCAATAAAAGAGAATAAAATCATGGCATTTGCAGGTAAATGGATGGAGTTAGAGGAGATAATGCTAAGTGAAGTTAGCCAATCCCTAAAAGTCAAATGCTGAATGTTTTCTTTGATATAAGGAGGCTGATTCATAGTGGGATAGGGAGAGGGAGCATGGGAGAAATAGGACAGAGGGGTGGGAGGGGAAGGGGGGCATGGGGTAATTAATGATGGTGGAATGTGATGATCATTACTATCCAAAGTACATGTATAAAAACACGAATTGGTGTGAATATACTTTGTATACAACCAGAGATATGAAAAATTGTGTTCTATATATGTAATAAGAATTGTAATGTATTCTGCTGTCTTATATAAATAAAAAAATTACATAAAAATAATTCCTGTGTTTCATATCTGCAGTGTGGCTGCTGCAAAATGTCGATTGGCTCATAAAAATCCCAACCATAGGTTTACTTTGTTGTTTTCATCAAAAGTGACTGATGATCATTATTAATAGAATATGCCCCTCCAAACAGTTCCAGAATCTCTTGAGGGAAAACTATATTGTACCTGCCTTCCAAAAGCTTACTTTAGTAGATATTGAAAAATCATTCTCACTGTAACACTTACTAAGGTATCCTTTCTGAAATATATAATAGTGACAGCATAATGCATACAGAAAATTTTAACCTAATATAAATGGATACCTAAATTTGCCCACATGTGTTTCAGGCTTTCTAAAGGAAATTTCTATTTTATAATTCAATATTTATAATATGTGCACAAATAACAAATGTATAGCTCAATGAATTTTTCAAATGCTTGAAAAGAAATTTGGTTGTACATTTGGAAGATGTTAAAGCATCAGAAAGCAATATTAGAAAAAGATGATTGAGGAGGACTACTAAATAATACAAGAAATGTCTATCCAGTAAGGGGATGGTCCAGTAAGAAAGTAGAACTTGAAAACCTAGATATTCCAAGGGAGATATAACTCTTGATATTTTCATGATGCTTGCATGATTTTTCAGAGTTCATAGTTTAGCTCTTTTTTGACTAGAGGTAAACTCATCCTCATGTTCCCCAAATTGTTAACTCTGATTATTATTACTTTGACGACTATGATTTTTTAAAAATTTGGCAGATACCAGAACTTAAAGAAGAAAGCAGAATTTCTGCAGGATATTGCAACCTACGGAGACGCGTTCCTTCTTCTGCCAGCCTTTTCCTACAGGGCAAACACTGGCCCCTCCTTAAAAGTGTACCACACACTCAGAGAGTCTAAAGCAAGACAGAAGGTTCTCTTTTTCCATCCCAAGTACCTGAAACAGCTTGGCCTTTTCTGGAGAACTAAAGGTGTGGATGCATACCGCTTGTCTACCGGCTTGATGATCGCAAGTGTCGCAGTGGAAATGTGTGAAAATGTGAAGCTGTATGGGTTTTGGCCCTTCTCTAAGACTGTGGAGAACACACCTGTCAGCCATCACTACTATGACAATAAGTTGCCTAAGCGCGGTTTCCATAAGATGCCCAAAGAATATAGCCAGTTCCTCCACCTTCACATGAAAGGCATCATCAAACTACAATTTGGCAAATGTGAAACATAGCTTAAACAAAGTTTCTTAAAATGAGAATAATTCTTGTGTAATGCAGTAGGTGAGTAACTGTTTCCAAATGCGAAAGGAGGCTGATATCCAGTATCCTAGGAAGATCTCCAAAACTTGGATTAACCAAAGCTCCCCCACTAACTTTGCAACCTCCACAAGTCATTCAAGCATTCACCTCTTAAATTTCCTTCCCTATTAAGTAGGGGTCATGATATATGGCTCATGCAAGTGAATCAGGTGAATTTGCAAAAATTCTTGGCAGGGCAATTGGTGTGAGATAGGGACTCTAGGACTATATTCTTGTTTGTATTTACTATACATTTCTCCCCTCACGAGACTGATTATGAAAGGTATGTTCTCTTGGAGGTCCTTTCTGAAAATAATAGCTGAATTGCCAGTATCCATGGGGTTTCTCTTTATTAATAACAGACTTCTCTTTATTAATAACATCCTTCCCATTTTTCTGTCTTCAAGCGTGCATACAACAAAATTGTGTAGTTAAGCAAGAAATCATTCATTAATCAGGAATGAAATTCTTTTCTTTGAATGGCCAACAGTATGCCTGCTTATGATTAAATTCACCTGTGATATCACCAGTGCTGGTGGGGTTGGATTTGGGCCTTTTCTTTTCCTCCTTTATCTACATGCTTAATCACTGTTTATGATTTTATATTAACATCCTGCTTCACCCTTAAGCCTTTTTCTCTTCCACTACAAGATCTATTTCAAGAACATGAATAGTTAAAATACCCAGTCTTTCTTACCCGTTGTCTGTAGGAGTCACTCAATTTTAAGAAAATATTAAACAGCTATTTCATGCCAGGCCCTGTACCAGGCTTTGTGGGAGGGATATAAAGATGTCTGCCCTAGTAGGAGGAAGCAGGTGTGTGTATCAACTGACCTGATACAATAAATGTTATGTCAACAGTTATAAGAAAAGTGCTAGAAGGATCATAGTCAGGAATAATTAAGTCTATTTCAGTAGAATCTATTTCAGAGATTATTAGTTGATTTCAGAATTAAAAGTAAAAATGAATAAGTTTTTACCAAATGAAGAAGATTCTAGGCAGAGGGAACATGAGATGATGAGAATATTTGAATGTAGATCATAGTTTTTGCCTCCCAAAAAAAATGCCAAATGAGGAGAAGGTACAGTGTATGAGGTGGGTGGCTTGGGCCTATGTCTGTAAAATGAAAATAAGTCAGACCTGACCAGTTTCACAGGAATGCATTAGGATGACAACACCCAAAACTTGCCATGCTCACATGGAAAGATGTTATGCCTACATGAGAAATGAGGCTAATAGTTTAGCCATTGTTAAAAAATAAAACTTAAGTGGATATTGCATATTTGCATTTTCACACCATTCCATTATGAGGATTTCTGCTAAGCTAAGTCCACTGAATAAGTTATTTGGCTTACTAAGGAATCACAAGCATATACTCCTGCTCATCATTGTACCTTCTGCAAGAAGACTGGAAATAGACCAGGTCAGAATGACAAAATAATTATAAATATAATCTATGAATTATTATATGAGCCAGATGATTGTTTGGTTAAATGTCCACTTTTAAGAACACTGTGCTGAATCTTTATACTTGACGGTTTGGGTTATTTTGAGTTCATATTTAAATTCGTCCCTCTATAGTAAATGAAATTTGTTACCTTTATAAAATTGATGAAAATTTCATATATAAATATTTTTCAAATGGAAAATGCTTTTTGTTATGTAAATTCTAATTTATTTTTGTTTCTTTCCTTTTGTGGTGATCGTGTGACTTTTTTCTATTGTTCCTAATAGATTTAATTAACAGGTTTTAAGTAACCTATTAGCTGCATCAGTAATGATTCAATCGTGATACTAGCAATGGATTCAGAATAGATCAGAACACTCTAGTATTTTACAGTTAGTAAAATGTTTTTCTCAGAATATTTTATGGCAAGTAGAAATAAACTATTTTTGATGATATTGGAAATACATGATTGCTGAGTTAAAAGAATATATTGAAGTAAATTATTAAATACACAATGTGGGATCTTTACATATTACTTAATAAAAAATTACATATGATTTGGATATGTAGTGCCTACTTAAGTTCTTCACATATAACATGCTATTTTAACTTAGGAAATTTTCTCTATAATGTCAAAATGGAATTTCCAATGTCACAGGTATGGATTTCAGAAATATTCAAAATATTAGGAGATCAAGGAATATAATGATAACCATGTGCCATGTCCTAGGAAAAGTTCAGTAGGAAAAAAGTGTAGATTTTCTTTTTGTGTGTGTATGTGTGGAGAAAATGTAGATCTTTTCCCATTCACTCATCAGAAGTTTATTTCTTTATTAACTTTTGTCCTAAAAGCATGTTTGAAATTTTACCACTTTGTTTAGCTTCAATTAGACAAACATCCTTAGTCAAAAAGACATCAGGAGATATCTTGAGACATAGCGGTAGTTAATCTACAAGTCTGCAAGATGGAGTTCGTAGTTTTCTTTTGTTCTGATATCAGTGAAAAGTTTACAGTAATTCACCATTACAGAATCAAAACAGCTGTTACTTGTTCTGCAATTCACATATCTGATATGTACTCTATGGTAAAATTCGTGCTCTATCATATTTTGTGTGTTGTGTTATCATGCATCAACTATATATGCCACAACATATGCATCCTTTATAACTCTTTCCCAAATCTGCAGCTGTGATTTCAACACGGCTCAGTTATTGGCCATTATTTAAAGCTTAGTCTATATATGTTGAAAAGAACTAAAAGCAGGGGAAGGTATGTGCCTCTTTCACATCATAACGTTTCCTTCCTGCGAGAGCATGTGTTCCATTCTGATGTGCCAATGATGTCCTTTGGTTCCAAAATGGAACATTATATAGAACTTTCTAAAATATGATAGACTATAAATTTTGGCAAAATAGCATATCAGCTATATAAATTTTAAAACAAGTTGCAGTTCTTTCTGTTCCATAATGATAAATCTTTGCAAGTTTTCCACCAAGATCAGGACACAAAGAAAAACTGAGAACTCCTTCTTGGAGACTTAACTGCCACCAAGCCTGACTGTAACACTCAAGAAATCTCTGAGTAACAAGCATTGCTAAAGTGTTGTTAGATGGATTCAATTTGATCTTCTGCTCTTAAAGTTCAAGTACATCTTTAGCATCATTGGACAATGTAACCATACAACAAAATTTCAAAATAGCTTCCAGTTGAACACAAGGGTAAGAAGAAATACTCATTGAAGTACACAGTGCTCTATAGTCTTAGAAAAGCACTCCATGGACAATTGCATAAGTTTTGCACAGTATATAAGTCCTTGAAGCCTCCAGTATATTTTCCTCTGAAAAAAAAAAAAAGGCAAAGAAAAATAGACCATGACTTTCATGGAAGATTTCCCTCTGTATGTAAATTCCAACCAGTAAACCCATGTGCACTCAGGCAGGTAGACAAGGACTTTTTGTTGTTGTTGTTAGGACTTCTATGTATAGAATATTGAATTAAGCCATAAGTCAGAAATATTTTTGCCTATATTTTTTTCCTTACTTACAGAAAATTTGCCAGTTAGAGGGTATATCACATCAAGTACCCTAAACCATTCCACAAATTTTAGGAGGCTTTAGGAAAGCTGGAAAACTTTGTGGATAACAGGCCCACACCACGGACAATTAATTGCATATTTTTTGCACAGTATAGAAGTGCAAATGATGTGCCAATGATGTCCTCTGGTTCCAAAAGGATCAAAAGGTTTTGGAACCAAAGGACATCATTGGCACATCCTAAATAGCTATTGCTAAAGTATAGTTTGGATGTGATGTGTAATGTAATTATGATACTCATAACATGTTATTTATGTAACATTACATGGAAACTATTAACTGCTACTAAACATTGCAGGAATTTATTTAATGTATCTGTTGCACTTAACCTAATAAGACTACTTCTTTCTTTATAGTTGATTCAAAAAAAATTGTTTGGAACCACTAGGTATGTGTAAGGTTTTTTATTTGTGTGTGGCTTCAGAAGGCTGACCCCACGATTAGCTGTGTCACTGTTCTCCTGAGGGTGAATGGGCAGGGATATTTCTCTTAACCCTCATTATTCTGGGTCATTACCCTTCTAGGAGCATTACTCTTTCATAAAAATAATGTGAGTGATATTTGGTAAAGAGGCAACATTACATAACGGAGACAGAACAAACTTTAGCAGATGGTATTGAGACATTGTCCCATCGTATGGAAAAAAATAAATGCCTACATTGCAAAAAGTGGGACTCCAGAAAGATTAAAGTTGGATGAAAAGGCAAAAGTATGAACTAATAGAAGAAACTGTAGGAGGTTTATGCATGAGATATGGGTGAGGAAATGTTTTTCTCAAATACAATAAAAAAATTTCTAAAGAACTGTTCTAGGCTAAGAAATGGTGCTTATGTCTATATTAAAATGAAAGATTTCTAGTCAGTAAATAACACCTTAAAGCTCACAGGCTGGTGACAGACTGAAGTAGCTTTTGCAATGCATAACATTAATGACATTAACAGACATTTCATGGTACTTCAAAAAGTAAAAGACATGAGCCCAATATAAAAATGAGCAGACGATAAGAATGTAATTTACAAAGGGAAAAACTGAGAAGCTAATAAGAGTAAAAAGAGATGCTCAAACTTAATAGTAATCTGAGAAATGCAAATTCAGGTGAGATACTATATCCATTGTATTGGCAAAAATTAGTAGCATTGTTAATTTCAAGTGCTGGTGGAAGACTAAATTGATTCAACACTTTTGGGGAAAAATCTGGATGTACTGAATAATATGAATCCTGTCTGTCCTATGGTCCAGCTCTCTCACTTTGGATATACATTCAAGGAAACTTTTTGTGCAGATTCATAGGGAGACAAGTACTAGGATATTCATTTTATTCTTTAAGCAGACAGTTGGACATAGAAGTGTTCAACTCTTAGGAAACTGATGAGTCAAGTTTGGTGGATACATAATGTGGAAAATAACACAGTAGTTAGAAATACCTTATTGGT